AAAGAGGCCTTTAGAGTATATTAGAGAGATAATGTGAAACAATTCTTTAACAACAAGGTTAATAGGTATAATTTGCCCATTTTTCTTTTTGTTTTTTGAACCACGTAAACATATAATTTCTATTATTAGATGGGCACATAATCAGCACGACGTTTAAAAAAAAAAAAAGAACAATAACTAAAAGAGATTTTATTATTAGTTTTTTATTTTTTTGGATCCCCGAGGAGTAACCACCACCCACATCCAAAGTGGAGATTTTTCCTAAATCATGATTTTTAGGAGGAGGGGGGTGGGAATTGTTGGAAAGAGAAGTGTTTCTCTGCCCACTTTTATATCTATAATTTGTTTTGTGTGTAGCATGCTTGGGGCATCATCCTCACGGGCCAACCCATGTTGAATCATCATGATGATTTCCTCATGCCAAGTACACAATCTAAACGCACCCCTTTTCACATTGGTTGATATTGTGATCCGGACATGTTGATTCTGAGTTGTGTATGTTGCTTTATGTCATTCCCTTGATACTAGACCTTCTTGTCCACAAGCATTATAAGTGCATTTCAGATTTCTTTTTGGTTTGTGTTGGAAAGGGTAAGAAGAAGCATATGTGAGTGTTTAAGGTTTATTTGTTTCAAAATTCTAATGATTATATTATATTTCATTAGTTGAATCAATTTGGACATTTTTAAATTCAAAACTAAACCAATTCAAGTTAGGTTAATGTGCATTTTAGAGTCATTTGCCCATGACTAATCTAATGAAATAAGCTATATAACGGGAAATAGTATTGTACCCACAAATGCATCACCCAACCAATGAGACAAACACAAAATACGGTTCGAATTTCAAATATGACCATTTTTTTTTTTTTTTTTCAAGCCCCCAGTTCTATGCCCTCAAGTATTCAAGTTCTTTTACTAACATGGACTTGTTTGCTATGGAGACCCTTGGCTCCTAGGGAAGTATTTTTCATATTAATATGAGAGGACAAGTCTCATCAATAAATTCAGTAAAATTTTCATATGAATTATGTCTTTACTTTTGCATTTATATGTATTCACAGCACTAAAGTTATGAATTATGAATTATGTCTTTACTTTTGCATCCGTAAAAGTAGATGCTGCACGCATTAAAATGCATAGTTTATCCAACTGGAGTAAATATTGAATATAACTATAATATTATGTGGCAGTGTCACTATCTAATGAACATTGTTGATTTGCGATAGAGACCACAACATTGTTTGGTTAGTGGGAGATAAAGATTGTCTGCTTAATGTATTTGTAACTTTTTATTAGCCGACGATACCACATGAGATGATATCACTGTTAGATGTCACAATAAGTATGGGAACACTCAGACTAGAAAGATCAAAACCAAGAAAAGACAAGAATACAGATCAACAAAGGGAGAGGGACCAAACAAACAAAGAAGGAGATTTTTTTTTCCTTTCAGATTAAAAGTTGACTTTGGACAGAAAATTGGGAGAGTGGAGTAGTGTCCACCGGGAATTGACTTGGAACACAAGTGCCTGAGTGGGGGGTGAACTAGTGGAATTGACTGAGACAAGTTGCAAGGAGAGTGCCTGAAGGCACACTCTCAAGTGGATTGACTTCTTCTTTCCCCTTTTTTTTTTTTCCCCTTTTTTTTTTTTTTTTTTTTGTGTGTGTGGGGGGGTTAAAATAGGAACTTTCATAAATAAAAGCTTAACAATAGAATAGTATCACCATATAATTGATTTGTAATAAAATAAAGAACATAGTAAAAATTTGCAATTCATTAATTGTATAACTTTCAAAACTAAAATATCAACACATTTATTAACTTCTTAATAACTACAACTATTGTTCGAACTTTCAGAATATTAAGAGTAGATTGACTTTGAGCATTAACCTACACATCATCCTAGTACTGCTCGAATTCTCTCCATTATTAATGTTGTGTTTGTATCTTAAATTTATCAAAAAATATATATAATAAAATAAAATGAACAAAGAGAACTAAAATTAACTTCTATTTCATTCATTATTTATTTATCTATTCTTTTTTATTGACGAAACCAAAGACAACTCTCTTACATGAGATAGGTTGAGAGTTGTATTTCAATCTATAATTTATTTCTGTACAAATACAATAACTGGTTTCGTAAGTTTAAAATCCAAATTCAATTCCCCCACTAAGTTCCATGTAATATGGACCCAAAGGTTGGTTCTTTTGAAGTTCGGGTTGAGTACGAAATTTCCATTTACTGCATCAGTTGTTTGTAGCTCAGGTTCCGTTTGGTAACGCTTTTATTTTTTTTATTTATTGACAAAAAAATTGTAAATTAATTATACAAATATGTTTAATTTGATCAAAATATTTGAATTTTTTTTTTTAAAACAAAACCAAGAAACATGCTTGTATAAAATGTTTATTTTGATTTTTAATTATTTATGACAATAGGATCATATAAATTATAAAATTAGAATATTCGTCCATAGTATAAACATATTAGTACAATATCAATCATTGATCAATTTAAAAGTTAGACATAAATAGGGCCAGCTCTGAGGTTAGATGAGGAAGAACGCTGTCTCAAACCCCCAAATTTTGTCTAAAAAATAGAGTCTTGAAATAATTTTGATCTTAACTTATGTTTGGTTAATTATTTCGGTCTTAAGTTATGTTTGGTTTATAAAAATAAAGTTGAATAGAGTAATTATTCCATCATAACGTCTATTTTCATGTTTGATTTAGGTCAAGTTTGGGAAGTTTCAAAAAAATCAAAAAGCTAAAAAGTTACTCAAAAAGTTAAAAAGTTATCACTATTCACTAAAAGTCAACAATTACGACTGCACAATTCCCAATACTAATTTTTCTCTATACATTAATTTATACAATTTTTTAATACACATTTTTTCATAAAAAGTCAAAAAGTTAACCCAAACATTCATATTTTTAACCTCAACTTTTTAGTCTAAAAATATAAAAAGTACACTTATTTAGGGCACGCCAAACAACCCCTTACTAAAAAAAAGTTACAAATAAAATCATCATTTACCATTTTTAGGGAATAGTGATTTTATGATTAAGAAATGACCATTCCATTCAATTCAATTCAATTTGATTTCAGTGAACCAAATACCGGATTATAGTATTAGTAGTTTAAAAATGAAAGTTTAAACAAACAATTGAATTGGTTAATTATTTAAAAATAATGGATGATTGCTTGCCAAATGTATGAATTATTTATATAATATTGTTTGACTATACGAGTTACAATTATTTCTAGAGAAATAATTTTTTTTAAAGTTAAAATAAATCGAAGAGAAATAATTTTTTTTAAAGTTAAAATAAATCAAATTTTACAATTTAATTTATTACGTCAAGAAAAATTGTGAATAAATTAATTAATAGTGTTAACAATCGAAAATATTTAAAATTTATCTCAATAATTGTGATTTACGTCAATAATTATGTGTACTATATAACAAATTTATATAAGGTACAAGGAAAAAATAAAAATAAATTGAAGATTATTACTATTTCACCAAAATATATATATATATATATATATATTTTAAAATATGTATGAGAGTCGGGATCTCATCTTCTGAGTCGGTCTTAGATCCCAAAAAGTTAAGATCAATCCTGAACATACATAATTGGATTTTGTTTCCCATTACAGTACGTGTGAAACTTAATTGAATACAGTTTTAATTAAAAGAAGTGCCAACAGAGGCAACAAACCACAACATGCAATTCTAGTTGCATTACTCCAGTTGGCAGCTCGTCTGGTGTTGGCGGCTTGTAACGAGTACCTATTGCATCCCAAAAATGTATGAGTTCCAATATCTTAACATCATGTTTTGTAATTAATTAGGTTATAGATTTTACCCACACCATGAACACTTTTAAAAATACACTCAAACTAACGTTCAAATTAACATAAGAAAATCGCTTGGGATTTTATTTACAGAAGCAGGGAAAAAAAGAAAGTGAAAGGAAAACTATACATGAAAAAGCAAACCAGAAAAATGAACTAGTTCCACACAAACTCATTAAAACCATCAATCAATTTACATTAAAAATGAATAAGATCCAATATCTTGACATCATTTTTCAAAATTAATTAGGTTGTGGACCATGAACACTTACAAAAAAACACTCAGGACGACATTCAAAATAACATAAGAAAATAGCTTGGGATTTTATGTATAGAAGCATGAAAAATAAAAATGAAAGAAAAACTAAAACACATGAAAGACAAACTCACTAAAATCATCAATCAGTAAAGTAACATGCAGATACATTGGAAGAGCACACACTCAAAACATTAGACAACACTTTGATTTTGCTCAACTAAATGAAGATTGAGATACAACTTTATTAAGAAAAAAAAAATTACAGAAAAGAAAGGCATGGTATTACAAATCGGGTGAGGAAATCCTTACATAAACACTTGTTACACTTCTAATTTATACAAAGTAAAGGATGAATCTACTTTTGACAGAAAATATACAAATGGATTTACAGATCATGCTTCAAAAACCCTAATTTAAAAAATATACAGATGGATTGTTTTTTTAAGTTTTTTCAATTTACATTTTTCGGCCCAATTTACAAACTGTGAGACAGTTGTTTATAAACCTAAAAAATTACCAAACAAGTTTTTATGGTAATTTTTAAAATTTTTATAAATTTAAACAAAAAAAACAACTGAGTAAAATGGTTACCAAACAGAAAGTTTTGTTTTTTGTTTTTTTTATTGACTCAAATTATTGAATTTACAGTAGTGGCCTAAGAAAAACTGCATTTTAGTTGGGATACTGATATTCAATTCAAAGCTCAGCAAATCAAACATTTCCAACCAAGATCTTCCAAGTCCTGTGTGATTGTCAGATTTATTTAGGGACATTGAGTATCATGAGATTTTGACCAGAATGAAAGAGGATGTAATACCATTTAAAAAATGGATGAAATTATAATAGGTATAACGTTAATTGTATCATGCTTGGTTAACATAGAATTTCCCTTCCCCTTAAACATTGAATCAACAAGGAAAATAATCTCAGGCCTTAATAATCCATACAATAGTACAACAATTCAATACTCATAAAATACACCAGGATATGAAGTTCACCTTTCATGTAGCTATATTCAAGTGTTAAACTCTCTCTACTATGTATATATATATATATATATATTTTTTTTTTATTCTCATTTTATTTTTCATAAATATGTTATTTGGATAACTTTTTCCTCATTAAAATACTATATAAATAATATAGCATCAGGATCCCATTTGGATTCTTGACTAAGTCTTCTCTTGTGAAATATACTAGAAGGGAAAGAATCAGGATTACATCTGGGGTCTCGTCTGAACAACGTATATTTTCCTGTCCTTGACAACACCTTCGATGTCTTGAGGAGATCCATACAGCTCCTCAATGGCATTTCCAGCACGAGCAATGCTGGAGAGGATTGATTGACGAAAGTTCGCATCAATAATCAATGGGTCCGATGAATAATCAAGCACAATTTTTTCTTCCTCATCCATTGGTACACTGCACACAAAAATAAATAAATCAATAAAATCGGTGAGAATATATTACACGTTTGACAGATAATATAGCTACGATGTGTGGAGGAAGAGTAGAAGGGTCGGTCTACACTACTGCTCACATAATTTTACCTGTCGTAAAGTCCTGCGCCAGCATAACCTTCTAGATCTTCCCCGTTGGAATCAGATCGGAAGATGATAGATCGTCTTATAAATAGGCCAATAGGTTTGCTCGGGTAACCTAATACCTGAAAATGTTCATGTTTGCCAACAAAGATCCATTTAGATTCATTGAACAAAAACACATTGTTTTTATATTAAAAAAAAATGGTTTATAAAATCTAAAAAAATAAATTCATATTCTTCGATAAATTGAATTTGAGAATTATGAGAAAAATTATCCATTCTGACATCCATCACCATTCAAGTACATACATGATCTTCTCTAATTAGAGATTAGAAGAAGCTGGGTTACTCACCTGAGGAGAGTTTAGATTATTCTTCTTGCATACAAAACTCAAAGCACGACCTGGATAAGCTCCGACCAATGTTTCCCCAAGACCCTTCACCACCTGTTCCAGATTGAAGCCATATATCAATATTATTTTCTCTGCCGGTCACTTAAATTAATATTCAATAAATGAATACAGAGAGATCCCCACTAGTTGAAATTAGGGTTACTTGGCTTTATGGACCAAAATATGATCCATCAAGGTTTGAGATTATCTTACAACCGGCCTTGAGCCTGAAGGCAGCTATGAACAAGTTTGTGGAACCAACAATGATGGAAAATTTGGTAGAGGAAAAACTCTAATCACACACATTACCTCAGCATATATCTCCGAGGAGTCTCCTGAAGATGGATTAGTAGTGTGGATGACAAATGCATAATCAGCATTTATTATTTCCTGAACCAGGACAGCCATGCAAAGATAGTCGTGATCTAGTTTCACTTTTCTTGTGCTGAAGTATGCTCTCTCATTCCACTTTGAAGCCCAAACCTATCAAATAACAAATAAATGATACGACTAGGCAAATTATGGCTCTTTAGTGAGAGTAATCAATGAGCATAGAGATTTGGATAGAGACCAAGGCTGTGTTTGGTGGAGGTTTGAAATCTCAATTCCACCCCTTGGTTTGAGTGTAGTGTTTGGTTAGAGTTTTCAAAAATTGATTCCACACCCACTTTTGAAAACACATCTATCTGGTCATCCTCCCGAACATCTCCCAGACTTCCGGCCGGTTGACTGGAACAGTGTTCGTGTTTTTTTTTTTTTTTGGTACCTGTTATTTTTATATTTTAAATAAAAAATATTTTTCGGAATTTTTTTAAAAAAAATTATGAGCTTTGAATAGAATTTTGGGTTGTGAGTTTGGTTATGAGTTGTAAATTTTTGAATCAAATATTATATATCACATCAAAAATTTCAGACTCAATTCAAAACTCTTTTCAAAACTCATAACCAAACAAATTTTTCACCCTCAAATCATAATTCCAAAACTCACAAACTCAAAATACACCTCTATTCTCAAATCATAATTCTAAAACTTTACCAAACGGTACCTAAGTTGCTACAAAACACAAGCCTCATTCCCCACGTGGACAAAAATGAGTTTCAGGGAAGACAAGATTGAAGTACATTAAATCCAAAATTTCATGCATCTGTTAATAAACATAAACCAGATATTGAGATCTCCAAGGACCAGCTAACTATGGCCAATGCTTTAGTATGCAAAGGCCAAATCCACTTTCTCTCAACATCTCTTACAAGTAAGGAGGAGCCGGTTTTTTTTTTCCCCCCCAGTGCTTCCAGTATAGAGTATTTGGGAAATGTCCTCAATTGTTGAGGAAAACAAGTTACTTCATGTGCATTAACAAAGATTTGTAAAGCATGGAACTATAGGTCATATACTATTTTTCTTTGCACGTTAACCAATCTTACTTTTTTTATAGCTGTCCATGCTTGTTCCCATCTCTGCTGACCTTCATCACCAGGCCAAGGCATGCCAGAACTTTTCATCTTGTCTTTCAGCTCTTGCACCTGAAATAACACTTGACATAAGGTCTCAGTGTACCTTGAACATTATTCTACCATAAAGAGTTACATTACCTCTTTAATAGAAAAAAGTTTAATAGGGACACAGAAGAAACAAAGTATAAACTTGAAAGAAAAAAAAAAGTGATTCAGGCATGAAATCCTGATGAATTTCATCATCTCACAGAAACCCATTAAGAACAGCTGTATTTTAACACCCTGTCATGCATATTTCTTAAATGTAGAACAGAGCAGAGCCCTAAGAAGATTGAATTACATGCTTCTTTGCCAATTCAACAAGGAAACACAGGCATCTCTAATGTTGCAAATTTATGAGAATTATATGTCAAAAAAAAAAAAAAAGGTCCTTAACAACATTTCTAGAAAGAACATACCAACTGGGATGGTGCAGAAAGCTCTAAAACTGTCTTGCGCAACTCCTTGAGGGCACTGACATCTCCTTCTCCTAACTTTTTCTTCAGTAGTTGTAACTTCTCTGCAACTTTCTGCCAATTAAATACAAGTAGCAATATGCCATCAGAATTAAGAAAGAGAATTAAGGTAAAAGAAACCACACTAACACCTAATTGAAACAAGAGAAGATTTCCATACTAACAACTTAACAAAATAACTCGAGCTGCAGCATGGACCTTGCAAGGTTATCCAAAGATTATGCACAGAAAAGTTCAGTTAATGAATACTTGACCCTATCCTTCTAAAGGTTTCAGGGATGGTAAGCATCTATCATGAACAAAACCTTCTAAGCAACTGAAGTCACCTAGAATTTAAACATTGACATCACAGTTTATAGTAATGAATGGCATATTTGCATTGTTAGAGTTCAGTGCATCAATAATATGGGGCAACATTATACAAATGAATTCTGCCCATTCAGACGTACCCTAATTAAACCTCAGTTTAGACGATGCCAACATCTGTTTAGTAATGCTGGTGCATCTAAACATGATCCTTTCTTTAATTTTTCTTCCTTAAATTTTGATAAGTACAGAGTTCACAAAGGAGTGGATCAGGAAGCTTCTCTCTTGTTTCTCAGATTACAACCTGAAAGCCCTCCATAAGAAAAATCCCTTGGATTCGATGGTCACTACTTAGCAACAGACTGATTCTTTCTTTCACATTTGTTTGGAATCCAGGATCAAAACAAACGCAAATTCACCCAGTTGGTGTGTCTACTATTAAGAAACAATTGGGGAAAAAAAAAAAATCCTATGCCAAATGGAAACATTAGAAGTTACTGAATGAAGAGTGCAATAACAAACTACAATAGAGACGGGAAAGATTTTGAGATGAGGAAACCTGATTTAAACCGTCTGAAAGAACTTTCTCAAAAACTCCAAATGGTAGGGCAACCGAGGTAGGAATCCCAACCCAAGAAGGCACTTTTCCTTTTAGATATCCAATATTACGTGCTTTAGCTCCAACCTATGAAAATCAATGTTCTGTAACTTACACAAATGGTTCAGAAAAAAGAGAAAACTCAAATATAAATGAAATTTGACAATGCAATCCTAACCACTTCACTAGTGAACTCCTCAGATGATATGGCATATCTGCCACCAAACTGCTTTCTGACCAATTTTATAGAGGGCAAAGGGCCTTCTTCGTTCAAGTTTGTTGAACTTGCACTTGTTAAGCCACCCTCCACCTTGCTGGGGTTAAGCACAAGAAAGAAAGAGAATTAATATTGGCTTCTTGTGTATTTTGGATTTTTAGTGGAGCAATGAATATTTTGATTTGTAGATTATATGAAAATGTATTCATACCTAAAGAAAAGTAAATAAAAAAAAATGGACTACAATTTCATCAGGCACATTATAAGCAGTAAATTTCGAGTAACAATTAAATGGATGAAATTACCTATAAACTATATCTACAGATGTAGGTTTTATTTGCAACAACTTCCCTTCATTTGCTTGGAGATCAGCCAAAATATTGGGATCAAAACACGTAGCAAAGCACACCTGCCAAAGATCAAAATATCATCACATTTGTCACACATCAGTGTCACTCATTTCAACAGTCGTCCATTGAGAAAACAAGAAAAAAAAAATTACAGAATGATAGTGAATTTTACCTTGCTATTTCTTGCTCGCACAGAAACATGAGATAGGACATCTGGCATGTCAGGTGTCAGCACAGCAACTGCACCATCAGGAATATCTTCCTCTCCTTTCACAGATTTTGCCACCAAAATTGTTGGCCTTCCATAAGATTTATTCTGAACAGTAAGCAACTCATCCACAACAACAACATACCCAATAGCTTCAACAGGGCTGATAACCTGCCAACTGTATCAGACGAGACTAAGTTGGTTGATATTACTGTACATACCTAAAAAGAGTCTCACAATATTAGACTATAATATGCTTGAGCTTAATAACATAAAACTAAATTACAAAGATAATTTTTTTAGGGACTTGATTTAATAAGAACCCATTCTGAGGATATGTATTTGAATTTTGAATAAACATTCACTAGCTCATTGAATTGAGCTTAAGAGAATTATGACAATTAGAACAACCTTCCCAAATTAGCAGTTTCACGAAGAATAGGATCGAGTCGATTAATGAGTGAGGATAGCGAAGCAGCTGATCCAGCACGAATAATTTCTTCCGTGAATATATTCACCTGCATTAAGTGATTGTACAGGTTGTTTCAAGGTATTATATACAACACAACACAAAGTTAATATTTAGATTGTCACACAATCAACATACAGCCCACTGATCCACTCCGAGCCGTGATCCGAGATATTCAGCAGACGGTTGCAACAGATGCTGGTACCACTCCGCCTTGCTTGTAAGTGCAAGCCGGGTTCGGTCAAGGACTGATTTTGCATACAAAGCCCAGTGACTATCTCCATTCTTTATCATGCTCAGAGCTTGATTCCATCCCTTCATAAGCAGCAATAGAAATATTAGACAATTGCACTGTTCCATAATCTAGCATGAAACAATGAAACACAGAAATTATGTCCCTTTTTTTCTTTTCTTTTTTTGCTTTTAATATATAAAAAATTATATCACTAGATACTAATGACAATGATTAAAACTTTCTGATTGAGCCTGCATAGCTACATAAAAATTAAAAAAAATTGAGAGGACAACATTTGAAGCCATAACTTGGTCACTTAAACTGTCTAAAGTCGGACCATGTTGGCTCACAAAAGCAAGAGCAATTGAATACAATATAAAATGAAAAGAAAATACAATCGTGATGGAGATAACATTGTGACAAACTCAAAACAAGTGATTCAAAATGAAAATAAAAATTATACTTCTACCCATAGTATGCAACTAAGGTAAATACTGGAACTGGACATTAATATATCTATATAATTATCTATCTTATCGGGTTTGGAGATTGAAAGTTGCAGCATGCTTCTTTCATTTTGATTAATCATAGAATATGTTTAAGTAATTTTAAGGGTAATGGAAATCTGCAGCAATGGAATCAACTGGTAATTTGGCACAAATATAAATTCTGCACCAAGTAGAACATCACATTGGAACATTTTGTCCAACATGTTTTCAAGCAATAGATGGGTCTGCATTCTGTACACCAATAATGAAGATGATGACGTGTTGCTATTACTGTCCCTTGTTTCATGTTTGTATTGTGGTTTAATAAGGTTATTTAGAATCAGGGTGCCAACTAAAGAATGGGCAAGCAATAAATATCTTCAGTTGCAGGTTACCTTTAAGCAATAGATGAGATCTTCATTATCATCCGAAGAAAGTGCAAGGTTTTCAAGAAGAAGAGTGATGAAGAACATAACTTTCTGCAAATACATGAATAAGGCTATCAACAATATGTTTCAAGCAATGAAACTAAATCCCACAAAGGTTAAGATAAGTAACAGATAACCAAGAGAAAGGCCGAAAATGTAAAATGCTAATGAAGTTATACAGATATAGTCTATAGACATGCTGAGAAGAGGACATACCTCTGGTTTAGCATTATTTAACTCCTCATACCCCCTTTCAACGGCTGTCCTGACAGTAGAATCAAGGGCAATGTCCAAAAATAAAAGATCCTTAAGACGATCATTTGATTTTAAAAGCAAAGGCCTAAGCTCTTCACGGGCCTCTAACAATCCCTGAATAAAAGAATTTTTTTTATAGAAAATAGATCTTAATGGAAAAGTTAATGTAAGAGCAACCAGAAAAGAACTGGTCTACAAAAATAAATAAACATATACCTCGAGAAGGGCTTCCACATTTTTATCTTCCACGTGTTCTCGAACAAATTGAAGCAATTCCTGTTTAAAGGACTCATCAAATTCACGTTGGCCCAGATTTTGCAATTTTGACACAGGTGACATCATGAAGATTTCTTGAAAAGAGTAGCATAGAAAGTAGTACCGGAAATCCAGATGGCAACCCTGATATAGGATTTATCTGCACCCCAACCATGAAACCTTGTCCCTGAAGAAAATTGAAGTTCTCATCAATTGGTTAAGGAAAGACATCATATCGAGCAACACCATCCAGTTACTGACAATACCTCAGACCTGTAGCCCATGCAATTAGAAATAGCTGACTCCAAATCTGCACCAGAATGAACTGCCTGCATTGTAAATTAAGATCGGACTATGGTCATCAACATGTCATTTATGGAAACATAAATTAATGGGTCAAGCAATAGAAGTAGATTCTCCTAACATAAAAAGCAACTGTATGATCAGACTAGAAAAAAGTTTATTTCTTTGTCTCAAGGAACATTGCTTACTGAACAATTCCATTTTCATTATGATTTAGGGAACATATATTTATTGTGACAATTCTCTCATGCATCACTTGTAAAGTAACATCAATAGCTGCTGGACGTAAATTATTACTGAGAAGTAAATGCAAATACCCATGCACTTATTTATTTTTTAAATAATGCATAAATCCATGCATAGTTCAGATAGCTTTGTGTACAATTCAAAATCTCCGTTATGATTTCACACAGAAGAAGAGTCACATGTTTCAAAATCTCCATCACGATTCTTTGTTTTGTCAGTCATTATGATTTCACTTATTACTAGAGTGTAGTTTTCAAGCCTCATGGATATATGTGCAAACTAGATAACAACTTAAGGCTTGAAGCATTAAACAGAGAAGTTTAAAGAGCTGACCTTCAATGTTCTCATGTAACTTCCTAGATCACGCAAAAGACCATCCTTCTGATCTCTCCTGAAATTTGGTTCAGAATGGATAGCACGATCATAACTTAGAAGGCGTTCTTTTGTTATTCCATTCTCATTCAGGGTTTTCCAATAAACACTGATGTCAAAATCGCTTTTGATATAATCAATGAGTGCCTGTAAGAAAACTCAATGTGAGACAAATTTCAGTAATATAAACCAAAGAAGACATCCACCCAGATTTGCATTCCCATACCTGACAGATCACTACATCATCAGGGCTAGTGTTATTATGCAGCTTTTGATGCCATTCCTCCATCATTCCACCTTTGCACTCATTTTTTCTCTGCAATCAATAGATAATTTCCCAGATAACTGCAACATTTACTCACCCTCAAAGGGAAAAAAAATAATGGAACTAATATAAATATGAGTAAACGTTAACCATAGATATAAAATAACCTTTATGAACCCCCTTATCTTCTCTCTCTTTTCTTTTCTTATCTTTTCTTTCTCTCTTCTAAGTCATACACCTAATTTATAACTTAATTACATATTAACCTAATTAAACCAAAAGTTAACCCAAATATTCCCTATATTTTAATCCTATTTCTTACTTTAAATATATATATATATACATACACATACATGATTTGATACCGTTGCTGGAATGATGATAACAAGAGAAGGGAAAGATGGTTCTGTTTCCTACTCACATTGAGCGGCAGGGCAGGTGGGTGGGGGTGGCTAAGGAGCAAAAAAAGTTTAGTTGGGTGACAACACAATTCAAAGAATGATTAGCTGCTTTCTTATTCAAAGCCAAACAACTTACGGGATTCAAATAACTGACTCAATTTTGGTGACCATACACAAGAACTTTGATTCAAACGGTGTTTCATCAATTATTGCCCTAAGCCCAAAACACATACAGCCACACACACACAAGCACGCAACTCAAGGCACGCACAAAATGAGAAGGTTAGGATTTTTAGATTGGTTAGGAGTAAGAAGATGAAGACAAGGGCATAATTGCCTTTTTCGCATTAGAATTTGAATTTGACGTAAATTATTATTATTATTAGGGGGATTTGGTGATAGACCCCTCGGTGTCTAACTTGTCCTTCAAAATGACAAGAATTATATGGATCATTACAAAACCCCCTAATATTTTCAACTTGTTTCTTTTACTATAATACCCACACATATATACATATATGTGTGTGTGTGTGTATTAGATTGCAATCACTCTCTCTCATCTCAATCTCTCTTTTCTTTGTCTCGTTTTTATCACAGTTGCTCTCCACCGGCGCCACCACCACTCACCATGAAACTCTTTCTTTAACGTCTTCATCACCACCATCACTCGTCACATCCACAACCTCAGATTTGAGATCATTCACAGTCGTCATCATCGGAAAATGACGGTTCCCGAAGGTTCGCAAACCTGAGATCTGAGATCCTTCACTCTCTCTCTCTGGTTCTGATGGTTCATGCTCTCTCTCTATGTGTGTGTCACTCACCATTTCAATCTCTCTCTCTCTCTCTCTCACTCCTTCTTCTTCTTCTTCTTCTTCTTCTGATCCTCTATTTTCGAACTCTGTCTCCATGTTTCTCTTTCTTCTCATGATGCTCTGTTCTTCGAACAATAAAATTTTACTCTGGTTCATGATATAGCGCTCTCCTATAAAGACATCCTCGCAGCTTGTTTTAGAGTAAAATTTTACTTTGAATCATAGTAAACTTTACTCTGATTCAGAGTAAAAGGTTACTCTGTAATCAAAATATATATATTACTCTGAATCAACGTAAAATTTACTATGATTCAAAAAATTTACTATCATTAAGCATATCAGCATATTGTTAACCAGAGTAAAATTTTAATATTACAAAAAATAGAATACATACTAAACGAGCGAACCAGAGTCAAATTTTACTTTTAAATCTATGAACAAACAAACAAAAAAATCTTGCTTTTTCATTGCAATATCTCGATTTCTCATTTTTCTATCAAATCTATTTTTTTTTTTTTATCTCTGATCTAAAGTTGATCTCAAATATGAGTTCGTAGGTATCAAATCTGAAATGGTAGTGGTTTGACTATAAAAATGGTGGTTGCCGGCCCACGGTGAGGGTGAGCAACCCCAGTAAACGAGGAAGATGGTGGAGATGATGAACAACCATCGAGTTGGTGAAGAGAGAGAGAGAGAGAGTGTTGTAAAAGAAAGAGAAAAAAGAGATGGTATAATGGTCAAATAAAATATTCAAATAACAAATTTTGTCCTTCATACAGGACTATAATTATGAGGGGGCTTTGAAAGTACTACATTTTTTTGTTGTCCTTTTAACAAGAAAAGGAAGCTAGGAGGGGGTTTATGGCCAAATTTCCCTTCTTCTGGTTCATGATATAGCGCTCTCCTATAAAGACATCCTCGCAGCTTGTTTTAGAGTAAAATTTTACTTTGAATCATAGTAAACTTTACTCTGATTCAGAGTAAAAGGTTACTCTGTAATCAAAATATATATATTACTCTGAATCAACGTAAAATTTACTATGATTCAAAAAATTTACTATCATTAAGCATATCAGCATATTGTTAACCAGAGTAAAATTTTAATATTACAAAAAATAGAATACATACTAAACGAGCGAACCAGAGTCAAATTTTACTTTTAAATCTATGAACAAACAAACAAAAAAATCTTGCTTTTTCATTGCAATATCTCGATTTCTCATTTTTCTATCAAATCTAATTTTTTTTTTTTATCTCTGATCTAAAGTTGATCTCAAATATGAGTTCGTAGGTATCAAATCTAAAATGGTAGTGGTTTGACTATAAAAATGGTGGTTGCCGGCCCACGGTGAGGGTGAGCAACCCCGGTAAACGAGGAAGATGGTGGAGATGATGAACAACCATCGAGTTGGTGAAGAGAGAGAGAGAGAGACTGTTGTAAAAGAAAGAGAAAAAAGAGATGGTATAATGGTCAAATAAAATATTCAAATAACAAATTTTGTCCTTCATACAGGACTATAATTTTTCATTGCAATATCTTGATTTCTCATTTTTCTATCAAATCTAATTTTTTTTTTTATCTATGATCTAAAGTTGATCTCAAATATGAGTTCGTAGGTATCAAATCTGAAATGGTAGTGGTTTGACTATAAAAATGGTGGTTGCCGGCCCACGGTGAGGGTGAGCAACCCCGGTAAACGAGGAAGATGGTGGAGATGATGAACAACCATCGAGTTGGTGAAGAGAGAGAGAGAGAGAGTGTTGTAAAAGAAAGAGAAAAAAGAGATGGTATAATGGTCAAATAAAATATTCAAATAACAAATTTTGTCCTTCATACAGGACTATAATTATGAGGGGGCTTTGAAAGTACTACATTTTTTTGTTGTCCTTTTAACAAGAAAAGGAAGCTAGGAGGGGGTTTATGGCCAAATTTCCCTTCTTCTTCTTCTTCTTCTTCTTCTTCTTCTTATTATTATTATTATTATTAACCACTCAAAATAGGCCAGTGTGCTGCACCTTTGTCAGTTTGAACGAATTCTTAATGGTAGGGAGATAAAATGCAAAAGGGCCAATACCATGTGAGGCCATTTTGGCTATTTTAAATGCCATGGAGGTGTAGTGCAAAAGAGCCAAACCATAAAGAAGTAAAATAGATTTTTCACTACATACATATATATATATATATATATTATGCTTGACAATACAGAAGTGAGGTCACATATTTACCTGAATAACCAGGATTTCATCTCGGATTCGCTGCCCCACATCCCCCTCACCTCCACGGCCAACAGTAGACAGAATCATTCTCAAAAGTTCCCGATACTGTGCATGAGTTTTATAAACATCCTGGAGCAAGTCTGTAAGCCTATCCTGAGCTCTACTTATTTCACTGCACAGATAGAGACATAAAAGGCACATCCACATTTAGAGAATAAGCATACATAGTTTACAATATGGACATGCATGCAGAAGCTTCTAACTTGTTCAAAACAGATAAGAATAAAGTTGACCACATAATATTTTACAGAGTCAGATTTCCAAGAAAAGTCTATTTCTGGAAAATCTAGAATCAGTCAGCAGTTCATTTGGTGAACTTTTAATAAAGTGAAAGTGATATCTGAAAGATGTAGGTGTCTAAAAGAAAGATTGAAGTTTAAAAAAATACATGAAGCAATAACGTGTAAGAGTTATACCGTGGCTTTACGTTGTAGTTTTTATTCCATATGAGCTGCCTTGTAGCCATAAACCTCAGCCACACAAGAATTCCTGCAAAGCCCAGTTCACCAGCATATTTGGCTTCATCTACCAAGTCCGCTGCGATATTAAATCTGAGAAGAAGAATATCACTTACAACTTCAATAACAATGAACCAAATCAGCACCCCAAACATGATTTAGCAAATAAAACCAATAATATTAGTTGAAGTTCCATGCATGACAGATTGTATATATACCAACAGTAACAGCCATTTCATCATAAGCCACAATCAAGATGAGCCAAAAACATAAATTACCTTAAAGATGCCACAAGAAATTGTGTAGAATCAAACCAGGTGTGAAGCAATTTAACTATCCTAGTGCTTATTGCTCCTATAGTGAGCATTTATTACACAGACAGGGTTGAGCCACATTAAAACCATAAAAGCATAATTTTTTGTGAGGATGAAATGGTCTGAAACCAAAGAGGACCAAAATAAAGTTAAGCTATCATATTTCTGCCCTCAAAAAAAAAACATCATATTTCTAAATGAATGGCTCACAACACAGAGACATAGGATATGCATGTGAACAAAAAAGATGTAAAAAAGCACAACATAAAAGATTAAAATCTATTAAGTCCAGTCCAAGCCCCCCATTCTTGAAGCCTACACTACCGCACTTGAAATTAACTACCACATATGGTTTATTATGCAAGATACTGAAGACAATCTAAATTTTACAACATCCATGAAATAGCAAAAGATGAAACTAAAAATACTCATAGACTACCTAGGCTTACTCAACTAATGGATTTCTAGAAGTAATGCTCGCAACACACAGACGCAACATATGCACATTGACAGAACAGATGTGAAAAAGCAAATATTAAAGGTTAAGTTCTATTATTAAAGCCAAAACACTCCTTTCCTCAAATCATAATACTACACTGAAATTAACCATACATACAATTTACCTAAGATACCAGAAGGTAAGGCATTAAAAAAAAAAACAAAAGACTATCAAAGTATCCAGAGATTACTGACCGATGCATAAAGGACTTTTGTGCCTCGCTTTCCATTTTGGCTATTTTATCCAACAAAGTCTTTGCAGTACCTTGGCCATCACCAGCATCCTTTCCAGGAAAACAATGCCTAATCAATATATCTGAAAAATGTTGTGGGAAGACAAAAAAGAAAAAGAAAGCTATAACTGAAAGCAACCTTTTGCACCTGCTTGTATCCAGTATCAAATTTAACATAGAAGTCTGAACCATCATTCTTTATCCACTTCCCACCAGACACAAGGACAAATGGCATACCCACATAACTGTCATCTTTAATTTCTATTTCTAAGGATTGAACCTGAAAATTTAATTGAGGATGAGCTTGTTGCCTATAAATCACATTGTCTATTAATTCACAGGCATAGGATCAAATCAAATGCATCTTGGCACACCTTGTCAATTGGATTATCAGAGCTGCTTATAAATTTTGTTTGAATGGCTTTGTCTAGGGAAGTTGAACCAGGGGGCAATAAACTTGGAGGTGGTGCCTGCAAAACGAAATGGCATTAAGTAGAAATTATTATTTCCACTCAAATCAACTGTAGGAAAACAATGTCCATGGTAAATAAATTCCATTTATCTTACCAGCCATTCTCCAGGTTTTTTCGATAAAGCCCAGTGAAGGGTAACTGGTTCCGTGAGATCTGTAGCCAAATGAACCTTTGTCTTACCAGCAGGCTTCATTACAAGTACCTTGAAAATGAACAAAAAGTTGGAAGTATTAAAATTACACCTGCAACTAAATTTACCAAGGAGAACAACAAAAGCACACCATAATCTCACCAGAAGTTCCTTATCAGCAAGCCTGAATATTTTCTTGTTCATAATAGGAACACCACCTTTTTCTTCCATTTTCATAGCAAAGCGCTCAATTGTGGACAAGGCTCGTGGTTTGACTGAGATCTTTTCCTCCACAGATCCAGCCGAGTACTTGTTTAGAAGATGCATTAAATCTCTCTTCTTGCGCTGAATCCTTTGAACCGTAAAATACTTCTTTGTTTCTAGTTTCTTAGAAACCTTAGTTTGTATCTCTCCTTTTGTAATCTTATTCCCTATTTCATCGAGAGAAGTACCCTTATCTAGTTCCATTTGCAACTCTTTTCTTGCTTCTTCAAATTCTTTCTGTTAGTATGACATCACTCAATCAAAATTCAACAAAACAAATGACTTGGGGACTCCTTATTAATTGTAGAAAATAATAAATGATACCCAGTTAATGCGCATTTAATACACTAAAACAAAGGCCATTACTTGGAAGTTGGAGCTGGCCTCTAAATATGCATTTCACAAACTATTAAAAATTGGGGAACAAAGAAGATATTAAAAACATTTAGTGTAAGAGAGATTCAATATTTACAAGTTGCTCATCTGCGGAAAAGTTAGGTTTTCCTGCTTTCTCCCATCGTATAAAAGCTTGTAGTTGAACAAGATTATCAGGTACTTGGCCCTTTGTTTCAGAAAGTTGCTTCTTTGTTTCAGAAGGTTGCTGCTCCTTACTTTCACTTGTATCATTTTTGCTTGTTAACCTTGCTCGAAGGTCCTGTACAGAAGTGCCCCTTGCTATTTCCTCCAATAGCTCAAATCGAGCTGCTTCAAATTCCTCCTATGACAAGAAAAAACAGGTATTTTTCAGTGATGAGAAAGAGAGCTCATATTCACATAAACAGTCTACAATACACATACTCTGTCACACTAAGCATTGCAAAATTAGTTATAGAAAAAGTATTATGGGATCATTAAAGAAGGTTCTCATCAAAGGATCTAGCCTGGCTCTAAAATAAAATCCCCCTTCAAACAATGCTGAGATACATTGTAAAATTGCAAAGATAAAACATGACATCATCTCCAACATTTTAGTAGAAGAAGATAAAAGAGAACGTGGAAGGTTCTGTTAAAACAATCAGTGACTACAAACTGTCGTTTCCAATAGGCACAGCGCAATAAAGATCCCAACAATGACACGACTTCTCTCATCAGGATTAGTCTTCAAGATGAGAGGACTCCTAATCTTCTTACAATACCCTATTTGTGAAAGGACCTCGCAAGGAGACCTTTTCATCTATCATAAACTAAATGCCTCTGTATCAGCAGCTTCTCTATCACAATTGCAATCTTCTCTCATCAGAGAGAGAGAGAGAGAGAGAGAGAGAGGACAACGCGGGCAAGAGAGAGAGAAGACGACACGAGCGAGACATGGTTCGATGGTTTGATGCAAGACAAGATCGATGGTTCGATGCGAGCAAGACAAGATCGATGGTTTGAGTCAACTGGATGTTCGACGACTAGAGTCGAAGGTTTGTCTTTTCACTCTCTTCCTTCACACTCTCTCTCCTTTGTCTCTCTCTCCTCCCCGTGTCTCATGTTGTGTCCAGATTTGGACACGCGTGTCCCCGGCGTGTCCCATACAAAAATAATAATTAAATTAAAGGGACACGCCATGTGGCATGTCCCGTACGTATCCCCGCATGTCCCCGTGTCCGACACCGGCACAGCGTTGATTTTGCCGTGTCCATGCTTCATAGCTAGTTCACATGTACTACTCTTTCTTGTTTATAGAAAAAAGAATTACAGGAACTGATCTAAAAAGAGCAGTATTTTTCTTTCCTGAAAATATCTTTGAATATTCAAAAAAGAAAAAAAAAAGTACCATTAATTTGTCATTATTATTAACATTGCACAAAACCTCACGCCTTCATTATCTTCCTCTCCACATTAAAAATAGAAAAACAGTTGAATGACAATCCAATTATCATGGATCGAAATCATCATCTCCACTCTTATCACAATAACTTTATTTATTTATTAAAGTTCTATGATACACAAGTTAATTGTCTCTTTTAATGTCTTCAAAGCTTGTGTATGCCACAGCAAATGCTTTCGAAAAGGGCACCACTATTTGTTCAAAGTTCAAACATCCATTTTGCTATTATATTACTGCATGAAAAAGCTAGAAATCAAATTTATTGACAACGAGGCTAAGGACACCAATTATTTGCATAGAAAACCTTCAAGCACAAATGATCCACTAAAGTTTCTTAGTTACATGTTTTGAAATTGATGAGTTAATTGAGTTACACTAAACATACCAAAATAGGTTCAATAAATTAGAATAAAGAATGTTGAAAATCTTGTCACACAAGATTCTACTGCCTTTGCATCATTACTGCTACTGGGCATTTCAAAATTTCCAAATAACCCAAATTTTCCATTTGCCTCATAGTCATACATATGGCAGCTATTTTCAATGTCTTCCGTATATAATATGCAATAATATTTTAATCTTAAAATCACAGGAACAAAAAGTGTCCTTGGCATTTGGCACTACCATAATAAGACTTTGCAATATGGTCACCCCTTTTAGAAGGAAGAAAAAAAAAAATTGAATACAATATTCATGCTAACAATACCTATAGTTAATTCATTCATAAAAAAGCATTAGTTACTTGCCTTTTCCTGTTCAGGAGTGTATGTCTGTTTACCCTTCCTCTCCCACCTTAAGTATGCTTGAATTTGTACAAGATCTTCAGGAACAGATATCTTTGGAATCAACTTGTCTTTCACTGGCAACTTAAGATGAAAGTTCTCACCATTGTTTTTAAACCTACCAATATAAGAATTAAGTAGAAAGAAAAAAGACGAGGGAGATTTTTTGGTACAGATTACACTGAAGCTAGTAAGGCAACAAAATATTGACTAATAGAGATTTACCATTTATTCTGTTCTTCATCAACTATAAGAAACTCTATAGCTTGTATTATAGGATCATCAATCTCTATTTTCAGGATGGAATTGGAACCAGACTACAAGGAAAGCAACGAATAAAAAAAAAAATTTGAGTTGTCGACTTAAATTAGTCAAAAAGAGGTTACCCATGTTTAGTATTATGGACAGTACTCCATGAATTGATTTTCTACCACTATTTGTAACTTACTCTCACAAAAGGAGTTCTAAGAGCTTTATTCTTATATACTCTAGTTCCTGCAGGATGGCGTGTGGGAAGTACCCACTTCCTGAAAAGTTGACAAAAGGAAAAGAAATCATTTCAAATGGCATAGGTGAAAACTTAAATTAATGCAAATCACTATATTTACAAGTGAACTTACTCTTTTCTATTTTGTATGCCACCCCAGTGTAGAAGTAAGGTACCACTACTATTTGTAACCAGCATATCTATTTGCAATGTGGAACCTTGAACAGGAGCACTAACATCCACCTGTGTAACAGGATAGGAAAAGATCATTTTGAATATATTTCATATCTGAAAGGTTTAGGTACCCAAATTCATCGAAACTCAACAAATTTCTGGGTCAGCTACAAATGCAACAAGCATAAAGTGTGAGTACCTGCAATTCAGCATTCCCATCAAGCTTGAACTTTCCCGCAAGTTGCTGCAAGCAGAAAATAGTCAAAATAAACACACATCCAAACCAGTAACTAAAAGATGCACAAAAAAATTGTAGGTTTTCAAATCATCAACTCATTTCACAAAATTGAGCTCAATATTGTGCTAGATATATAAAGCATTACATTTCAAAAAGGCAAGCACCATGCTTAAAAATTATGGTGAAGATAATTTAAAAGATTGAAAGTAGGCAAAACCTTTGTCTATGTGAAGAATATGGTACACAAAACTTAATCAGTCTAAAAGAGGAAGGATATAGTTTTTCGAACAGTTTATAGTTGAGATCTCTTCCAACTTTGAAAGATAGAAAAACCAAAATATTGAAGTGTTGATATACTCAAATCAGGAGCTAAAAGGTTTTAGTAAAACCTATTAATAAATACACATCGAACCCACCACATTTGTGTCTAATGGTATGAAAATCTTATAAGAAATGAGATTTTGAGTAGTATTTTCCATCTTATCTAGAGTGTTATTTTTAAATCTTTTGGTTTAAGAGGCACAAAAGATGATTCAAAACCAAATTTTTGGAAAGTTTGGTTCTTTCTCAATATCCAGAAGATTAAATACCAAACAAAGAAGTCTCATGTTTGATTATTCGGATTGGATATAAAAGAGTGAGGATGATATGTAATACCTAGGGATATAAGATGAGATATAATATGCTTAGAACAAGAGATGGATTTTATATAACGTGGAGTCACATTTACTATGGTTAGTTAGGATGATAGGATATAACATGGGATAAAAGGAGAATAATTACTTTTTACCGCTAGATGGAAGATCATCTCACATTCGGTGGAGGATTTGTAATAACCATAGGGGGTATTATGTATCACACTCTTCTGAAGGATATAAATATATTGTGCAACCAAACATGGGACTAGGGGACAACTAAAAACACATGGGGCCCACCATATATAAAATCCAATCAACTCGTTTATCCCCTAAACAATGCCTTAGTTCAGAAATTTGCCAAAGTACGCTTTCATGGACATTACTACATACTTAAGAAAAAGAAATTCAGAGAAAGATTTGGGAAGTTTAAGTTATTATATACTTATGCCAAATATTATACAAGAGATTTCCCAATGAAGAAAATGAATACAACCAATAGAAATAAGGATTTATCAATATATAAGACTCAGCTTCAAGATATGTTAAAAATGTCCGTGTCATGATCTCAAAATATCGTTTATTCTGGTGTTTATGAATGGTGGTATACAATTGGTTTACGCACTTATGAACATCTTCATACAACATCTCTTTTTCTATTATTTCTTTCTGCCATATCTTTAATAGCTCATGTTGCATGTCCATGCATGTGCTACTTAGGTTTTCAGCCAATACAACTTAGTTTGGCCCCATTATCCTCCCAATGATATTTTTGTAGATGGCTTGAGAATAAATTTGAACAATAACTTTCCTAAAATGTGGGCTGGCATTGGTTAACGAAAGTTTACTCACGAACTCCTTCAGCTTCCCTCCCGCCCAAGGTGCTCCATGTGGCACACAAATCAAAAGAAGCTAAGAAAAATAAAATACACATTTATTCCATTCAGGTACAAATAGTAGTATGCCAAACGAACAAAAGACATTCTATCACTATCATCAATTCTTGATTTATCTTTGGTCCTCCTTGTCCAATCACTATAAAGCCTACAATCCAAATTATAAATAGCACAACCTGGAACTTCACATGTTACAATTCTCACATTACAATAACAATTGTTGATGGTGGGCAAAGAAAAATAGTGTTAATTACTAGGCAAGCTACGAAATGCATAATCTAATGCGATAAATCAACATGTCCACACCAAAATACTTAGAAATAAGTTGCGTAAACACATATCATTCAATTGAACAAATTAATGACCGTAAATTATACGAAAACAAATAACAAATTGATAGCATACCGTGGACGCAGTACCGGTGGTTAATACAGCCCGAGGAAAAAGAGAATTCGGTCGAGGCGTTCCCATCAGCAACTTCTGTTTTCGCACATCCAGACTCCTTCCTCGGAATTCGGTACTTAAAGGCAACTTTCGTACTTGTGAAGTTGCTTGAGCATGAAATAAAGTGTTGCCGGAAAGGCAAGAAGAATTGATCTTACTTTGATGCTCCAGAACCGTCGGGCCAAGCAAACTCTGGTGAACCAAGTTATGCCCTATTGAATTGCTCATATTCGTCAATCACTCGAAAATTCGAATCTGAATCAACATCAAGAATTAGAATCATCAGTATATATATACACTCTACATATACGTAATTATGCGTGTATGTATATCGGTGAACTTATTCGAAGTCATTTTGAAGCGGTTTTAAAGATCGCAGAGAGAAATTCTGGACTGTGAAGTGAAAATGTTGTGGAATTGATCGAATTGGAGTGGTTGAATGGATGAAGAGGTACCTATGATTCAAGCTGTAGATAGGTATAGAAAGAGAAACAATGGAGAATTGGAGAGAGAGAGAGAGAGAGAGAGAGAGAGAGAGTCTGTGTGAATTGGTGTCTCTGAATTTTACTTTATTTTTTTGATAATCGGAGAAGAGAATGAAGAAGGGAGTTGAGTGGGGTGGGGAGAAGAGAAAGAGACAGGTCCTTTATCGGACACGTGGCACGGTGCCATAGGGCCTAATGAATCGTTCACGTGTGGGAGATGAAGGGAAAGCATGGGGTGTGCGTGAATATTGGGAGCTTCCACACACAGCATGTATAAAATTTGGTTTTTTATGTTAAAATTTATAAAAAGGTAAAATAGATTAAAATAATTAATAAAATTAATTATCATATTAAATTTATAATTATTATATATTTTTATTTATAAAAATTATATTTAATTATAAAAAAATTTAATCATCTTTCTAAATACAAAAATTTTAATTTATTAAAATAGTCAAAACCTAATAACCTACTAAAATAGTCAACTTCCCAAACAAGGCATTATCTTAGGCTCCATTTAGGCTAAAATAATCATATAAGGTAAAATTAACTATTTTGGCTAAATATAATAAAATATCATATTTAATCAATAATTATTTTATTTTTCTCTCACAAAATTTAAAAAAATCAAAAAACTTATCTCAAATGAGTACTTTTTAGTCCCAAGTTAAAATAGTCAAAAAATCAAAAAATCAACCCATATTCTAAACGAACTCTTAGTGGTGTTGTGGAAAGTGATTTTTTTTAGCTTTTTTTTTATTTTTTTATTTTTTCAAAAAAAATTAGGTTCTAGATTCAGCTCGATAAGGGGAATCAGCAAATTATAATTTTTTTAAAAAAAAATTCAAAAAGAATTTTAAAAAGACAAAAATAAACCAAAATAAGCAACCTTTTTTGACTTATTTTCGTCTTAAATGATTTTTTTTTGAAATTTTTCAAAAAAAAAATATAATTTTTAAATTCTTTTCGACAAAACGGCCAGGAAAAGAAAAAAATTGACATAATTTTAAAAACAAAATTACTAAAGACAACAAAAATTGAAAAAAAAGTGACTTTATTTTTTTGGGGGGCCAAAATGGACATTAGACCTTGTTTGAGAACATGCTACTTTAGCCTTCGTTTGGCATAAAATGATTTTGGGCTTTTTGGCTAAAGTAGCAACAAAAAAACAAAATAAGTTTTTTAATTCAATAAAATAAAATATAACATTCAAACCATAGTCGTTTTATTTTTTTTCTCACAACAGTCAAAAAAATAAAAAATAAAAAAACTATCACAAACGAGACTCTTTAGCCTCAGGCTAAAATAGTTTAAAAAATTAACACACATCCTAAACGAATCCTTAGTAAATTTTTTGACTTTTTATAAAAGGACGAATTACAAACACCCCCTCGAGATTTGGTGAAAGTACAGATTCTTCCTTGAAATTTGAGAAATTACAAATTGCCCCCTGAGGGTCAAATTTTCAAAACAAATTAGGAAAAATTAGGGGGGAATTTGAATTAAAATAAAAACCCCATGGGGTAATTTGCTATGAAAATATAAACCTCAGGGGAGAATCTGTATTTTCATCAAATCTCGAGGGGATGTTTGTAATTTGCCTTTTATAAAAAGATGTGTAAAAAAGTATAGAGAATGATGTGATAGCTTATAATAATTTTTTTATTTTTTTAACTAAAATGTATAGTTGACAAACGAAACATTAGTTGATTCCAAAACACAAATTATATTATTCATTAAAATAATAAAATTATATAACTTCTCAACTAAAAGTATAGGCCCTTTTGTGTTGTATTGTATTGTATCTAGGGCTATGCAAAATACTACCTAATTAGTTAAAATTGCACTGATCCGTATCAATATGTACCGCTTCATCCGCTAACCGTGGTTTAAACTTTATAATTTATAATCCACCTTTAAACCGCTCCGCTCTACTATAGTTAATTCATATATATTTTTCAACTAATAATGAAATATCAAAATAAAAATGAGTGTAAAATATATTTAATATGTTAAATGTATTACAAATTAGTAGTTATATATATGAAAATTTATTTGTGTTATATGCATGAATATTATGCAAATTAATGTTATATATTATGCAAAGACTTGATAATTGGTTAAAATATCCTTCAATCTATCAATCCATTCAAAACCCCTCAAACCGCAATTTAACGATCTACTAATCCGCTATTCGGTTTATAATTTTACTCTCAAACCATCCGAACTACACCGCACACACCCCTAATTATACCAACTTTGAGATATAAAATAAAAATATATATTTATTTATTAATTGATTTAAATTAAATTTATAAAATTATGTAAAAGTACTCCCTACATAGAAGAGTGATTTTTTAATTTTATAAAATGTAGCCGTTATAATTTTTTCATTTTTAATTTCATGGAATTATATTAGCAGCATCACCACTTTATGGGAATGCCAGCTCCATAACAATTTTCCCAACCAAACCCCATTTTTTTTTTAATTATTATTATTATTTTTTTATGTGTGTGGAATTTATAAGATCAATAATTCAAGCTCATTGCCCATGGAGGGAAAACAAATATAAGCCTTGTTTTGGGAAGAAAAGTGAGTTAAAATAGTTTATTAAAAGATAAAATAGATTAAATAATTAATAAGATAAAATATCACATTCAACCTAAAATCATTTCACTTTTTTATTAAAAAAATTAATTATCTTTCTAAACATAACTATTTTAATCAGGTTAAAATAATCAAAAAGATAACTAGTTAACTAAAATAACTAACTTCTCAAATAGGACTTTTCTTAAGCGTGCCTTGCATATGGTATGCAAGGCACTTATACCTTGTATTTACACCTTTATATGCCTTGCATTTATGACATTTTTTGTGCATTTACACCTTGCATACGGTGTGCAACGGTAAGGGGGTTGCACACTTAAACATTACCCTCTCAAATAAAGCCATAATCATGAATAGTTGTCTCGATTAGTTGTTGTGTGCTCCTCAAACAATTGTTCAGAATTCTATTTTTGAAATAAGTTACGAAGAGTTATTTCTAATTAATTTCTTTTTCTGATGTCGATGATATGTTCTTGATAAGATTAAAAAGGGCATTAATCCAGATGTATATAAGGTTGTCCGAACACTTCCATGACCACTGAACAAAAACAAAAACAAAAACAAACATGACCATAATCATAAGAGCCATAAAATTTTGATCGAAAAGTATTTTCTTTTTTATTTTTATTTTTTTTAGTGATTTTGATTCTCATTTGGTAACTTGTGTACAAAGAGAAGCCCCCCGTCAATCTCATATAATACTTTTGATATTTGATTGGCAACAATGATTCATCCCCCTTTTTTTCCCCACCCCCTTTGACCCCCTCTCTATCTCATTGGTTATATTTTCTTTTTCTTTTTCTTTTTTTTCCTGCTCCTCCAATCACCACCCGCCACGTGGCAACGGGGGGTGAGGGGGTGACCCCCAAAAGGAGGTCCCAAGCATTATTCTTTGATTGGTTGGTAGATGAATGCCTTTTTTTTTTTTTTCTTTTTCTTCTTTTGTTACAGGAAAATTCTCACTACCTTTCCGCAAGTCCAAAGTTTTGAGATCTAACCTTCTAACCAACTGTGTTTCGTTCATGCTTCGCCCAGAAGATTGGTCAAGGAGAGAAGGAATTGAACCTGTGACCTTGGGGTTTAAACCGCAAGCCTTAACCACAATCTCACCTACCTCTGAGTTGATAAATGCCTTTCAGATAGAAGAAAATTTCAAAAATAACCCCATGCTTTTTTTTCTTCTCTCTTTTGTAGGTAGGATGCTTCCAATCGTGATGATTTTTTGGGACTCGAGTATGCTAAAAAAACGTGTGTTTTTTTTTTAATAAATATAATGCTAGTCATAAAAAAAATAATAAACATAGGAAAATATTTTGTAGCTCTAAAGTTTTTCTCCTGAATCCCCCGACTGTCCAAAACGACATCGTCTTTTTGGATAGTTTATTTATTTATTTTATTTTTTCTCCTTTTGTCTGAAACAAAGGGAGAGAGAGGGAGAAACAGAAGGAGAAAGAGAGAGGAGGAGAAGAGAGAGGGAGAAAGAGAGAGGAGGAGAAGAGAGAGGGAGAAAGAGAGAGAGAGACGGCGACGGCGATGGCGGTGCGAGAGACGGCGATGGCAGTGCGAGCGATGGTGATGGAAGGTGCGACGGTGGATGCTCACCCTTGCGATTTCTGGCTCTGATGTGTTGATGATGAAAATGAAGATGATGCGTTGATGATGGTGATGCTGATGAAGATGTTGTTGTTGTTGATTTTTTTTTATTTTTTATTTTTTCTAGTAGATCAAGATCTGAATCCAGATCTGAAGGGGGGAAAAAATGTTGGCTAATGATGATGTGATGAAGAAGATATTGTTGATGATGATGATGTTCTTCTTCTTTTCTCCTTCTTCTTCTTCTTCTTCAGACAAACAGGAAGGAAAAAAGGGAATAATAATAATAATAATAATAATAATAATAATAATAATAATAATAATAATTCCAAAACGACGTCGTTTTGGGATTTCGGGCAATTTGAGGGGCTTCCAATTCGAGCTACGTAGCGCAATTGTAAAATATATAATGTATACTAAGGTCTTATTTGTCATAATCTAAAAAAGTCAAAAAGTTATTATCCTATTTAAGTCAGATCATCTTATTTAAATCACATCAACTCTCTATCAGATCACTTCAAACTCAACCCATATTTCATAAAAAGTCAAAAAGTATACTTATTTAGATCATCCCAAGCCACTCTTAAAATTTCATCTTTTTATAGGTTTCGTTTGGAAAGTAGATTGGTTCTTTGATTTTTTTTTACTATTTTAGTCTAGGGTTAAAAAGTCTCGTTTGAAAATGACTTTTCGACTTTTTTGATTTTTTGTGAGAGAAATAATGTAATGGTTATAAATGAGATGTGATGTTTTGTCTTATTTGGTTAAAAAATCTATTTTATCTTTTTTATGACTGAAATAACCCCAAACCTAATCTAACCCAACCCATCTTCCCAAACAATGCCATAGTAAAAACCTCAATCTAGCCGTAGTTAGATGGATTCAAATTTTCTACAATAATTTTTAATGTAATGCCCAAACAATGACA